GATCCCTGGCCCAGATTCCACACCAAATGATCCTCCAGGACCTATTCCAGCTGATCCCTATCCCAAATCCCACACTGGATGATCCTCCAGGATCCATTCCAGGTTATCCCTACCCTGGCTGATCTCCCAGATCCCATTCCAGGTGATCCCTATCCCAGATCCCACACTGGACGATCCCACAGGTCCAATCCCAGGTGATTCCTATCCCAGATGATTCCCAGTTCCTATCCTGGGAGATCCCTGGCCCAGATCCCACACTGGATGATCCCACAGGACCCATCCCAGCTGATCCCTACTCTGAATCACACACTGGATGATCCCATGGGATCCCTACCCCAAATCCCACACAGGATGATCCCACAGGATCCATCCCAGGTGATCCCTACCCTGAATCCCACACTGGATGATCCTCCAGGATCCATTCCAGGTGATCCCTTCTCTGGATGATCTCCCAGATCCCATCCCACATGATCCCTATCCCAAATCCCACACCAGATGATCCTCCAGTTCCCATCCCAGCTGATCCCTATCCCAAATCCCACACCGGATGATCCCACAGGATCCATCCCAGGTGATCCCTACCCTGAATCCCACACTGGATGATCCTCCAGGATCCATTCCAGGTGATCCCTTCTCTGGATGATCTCCCAGATCCCATCCCACGTGATCCCTATCCCAGATCCCACACCAGATGATCCCACAGGATCCATTCCAGGTGATTCCCTATCCCAGATCCCACACCGGATGATCCCACAGGATCCATTCCAGGTGATCCCTATCCCAGATCCCACACCGGATGATCTCCCAGATCCCATTCCATCTGATCCCTATCCCAGATCCCATCCTCCAATCCCCATCCCCAGGTGCAGGGAACATCCTGACCGAGTTTTAGGGTGGAAAATCGGGACGTGGAGGGATCAGGGAGAGAACCGGGATCCCCCAAACTTCCCAAGTTCATCCTCTGGAGCTCCATCCATTTAATTAGGAACCAACAGCAGATGGAATTTCATCGGTCACGGATCCTGCAATTCCATCAGATCCCTCTCCTCCAGAGGGACAATTCGGGGATGAAAACCTGGATTTGGGAAGCAAAATCTCCTCCTTTTCCAGCGCTGAAAACCACGGGACCATCCCGTCCATCCACGTGTCCACCCCAAGGGATGCTGGGAATCTTCCCAACGCTCTCCCAAGCACCAAATTCAGGGAAAAATGGGAATTAAAATTTCTCCGTTGTTGATGGAGCTGCCAGGCCGGGATCGTCGTTAGGAAAAACCATCCCGGGATAAGAGGAGTGGAAAAAACGTTCCGGGAATTAAACAAGCCAAAAATAGGAGGAAAAAAAACAAAGGTCAGGCCTAAAAATACCGGGATGGGTTTGGAGTTGGATCCTGGCATGGAAGAAATAATCCAGGTTTTTGGGAAGGATTAATTTTAGCCATCCCATTACAATAGCTCTGACACTCTGGAATTTTTTCCGGCTGGATTTTTGGTGGATTTGGGGATTTTGGGGCTGGATTTTTCCCAGCTCTCTTCCTGGGAACGTGAGGGAGAAGGTGCTGGGAGCGAGCGTGGGACGTGCTCGGCTCTGCCAGGACACGCCTGGTTTTCCCGGGAAAACAACTGGGATTGCCAAAGTTCCCAGCCCCAGGGATGGGCTGGAAGTGGGGGGGGTGAAGTCGTGGCGGATCCGAAGTTCCCCACGGAGCAGCTTGGCCCCGTTCGCTCGTTAGCGACTCGGCGTTAATTAGATCCATTGAAATGAATTTTCCTTCCAATTCCTCTGTGGAGGGAATGATCCCATCCCAGGATTGGCCCTCTTTGTGGGGAAACTGAGTCACGGCGAGTTTGGGATTACAGCCAGGAAAGGTGAATCCTGCTCTGCTCAGTTTTGGGATGAGGATTAGGGATAAATCCAGCTTTTCTTAGCTTGGAAGAGGGAAAAGCACCCCTGAGATCCTGGGGGCGGAGAGGCAGATCCCAAAAGTGAGGAGATTTGGGATGGGGACGGCCACATCCCGCTCTCCAGCACCTTTCCAGCTTTTCGGGAAAAAGGCAGGAATGGGAAGAGGGTGGGGATGAGGTGAGGTTTGGGCCTGACCAGGATGATTTGAGGGAATATTTTCCAGCAGGGATCCCAAGGAGAAGCCGAATGAAGAAGCCACCGGGATGTGGGGGGAACGTTTTTTATTGGACTCGGGAATTTCAGGGAATGCCCCCGGAATATCGACACGAGACATCCCATGGGGACCCCAAATCCATCCGTATCCCAGCAGACGCTGGTTGGTGACACTCCAAATGGGATCAAAGAGGATTTTTCCAACCTGGAGAAAGAGGAAGGGGATGGAGGGGCCGGGGGAGAACCACCACAACCTCTGTTCCCTATGGGGGAAAAAAAAAGAAGGAAAAATTAAAAATAAACACCCCCCCCCAGAAAAAATCACCACAAACGTGGATTTTTCCCACGAGGAGGCCGGGATGGGAGAGAGCCGAGATTTGGGGATTTTCCACGGATTCTGCACTTACCTGTGGAGCCGTCACTTCTCCGTCATCATCCTCACGAACTCCTCGTAGTTGACCTGCCCGTCGTTGTTGCAATCGGCCTCCTTGATCATCTCGTCCACCTCCTCGTCCGTCAGCTTCTCGCCCAGGTTGGTCATGACGTGCCGCAGCTCGGCCGCGCTGATGTAGCCGTTGCCGTCCTTGTCGAAGACCCGGAACGCCTCGCGGATCTCCTCCTCGCTGTCCGTGTCCCTCATCTTCCTCGCCATCAGCGACAGGAACTCCGGGAAGTCCACGGTGCCGCTGCCGTCGGCGTCCAGCTCGCCCACCATGTCCTGGAGCTCGGCCTCGGTGGGGTTCTGGCCCAGCGAGCGCATGACGGTGCCCAGCTCCTTGGTGGTGATGCAGCCGTCGCCGTCGCGGTCGAAGAGGGAAAAAGCTTCCTTGAATTCCGCGATTTTCTCCTCCGACAGCCGCTCGGCCATGCTGCTTCCCGCCGGCACGTGGCTCTGTCCCGGCACGCCGAGGCCTCGGCGGGGAGGAGGAGATGGAGCCTCCTCCCTTGGAATGCCTCTCCCTGGATCAGCAGGAGGAGGAGGAGGCAGGAATGGGAATGATCCGGAAGTTTTGGGAGTTGGGGAAGGAGAGTGAGCCAAGCCCCGTGGGCCAGCCTGGCTCTCGTCCCGCCGCTCCCACGGTGGCAGATCCCAACAAAGCTCTCACCACGGGATTCGGGCTGTGGTTCCGTGGTTTCGGTGGGGGTGACCCACCCATGCTTTTCCCAGTTTTTGGGATATTTTGGATTGGTCTGGAGCTGTATGAAGGAGTTGGAGGGGTCCCTCCCTGCTCCCAGAGCTGCTGTGGCACATCGGAGGCGCCAAGGGAGGATCCCCCGGTGCAGGCCCTGGCAGATCCCGGCTGCCCGGAGCTGCCGCTCCCGCTCGGAGCTGCCGCGGCCCTGAGGCCCCTCCGGGGTTGGATGTGGGTGGTGACGCGGGGCTGGGCGAGGGCTCGGGGTCCTGCCCTGCTCCTCAGAGGGAGCGGAGCGTTCTCCCCAGGGTGAGGGTTTACTCATCTCTTACTCACGGAGTAAAGCAGGGGACAGGGACAAATAAGGGGGTGTTTCTCTGTCCAGATGGATCCCATCCATCCATCCATCCATGGATTCCATCCATCCATCCATCCATCCATCCATCCATCCATCCATCCATCATCTGTCATCCATCCATCCATCCATCCATCCATCCATCCATCCATCCATCCATCCCAGCAGTCCGGAAGTTCCCCAGCAGGAGATAATTTGACTTTCTCAGCTACAGGAAGTCGGTAGCAGTTGATCCCAGTTTAACCCAGTGAGGAATTAGAGCTGGGATTTGGAGGGAAGGGCACAGACCAGAACTTGGCCCATGGGACAGCTGAGGAACGGTGGGATAAATCTGGGAGGGGAAAAATCTCCTGTGGAAAAAGCTCTGGGCGTGCGGAACGCTGCAATTCCTGGGAGGAATCGTGGGAGCTGTGCTGGGAACCCGTCAGGCGAGAGGTGTCGGGGAGAGAGGCCCTGGCAGCTCCTCTTGTGCAAGAGCTGCTCCCTCATTACTTGTCTGATCGTCCTCACGCGCTGTTTGCTCCAGATTTAATTAGATCCGACCCAAACTGCCGGGAAGAGCCAAGGAGAGGTGGAGCCGGCTGGGATCCGCCTGGGAGAAGCCGATCCCGGTGGATCCTGGGGGTTTGGAGGCCTGGGAGGGTTCAGGTGTTGGTTCAAACTCGGGAGAGGGGTTGGAGCTCACACGGGCGGGATTTGGGGTTCCTGTGGCACCTGGCTGAGGCTGGTACGGTTCTGATTCCAGAGCGGCACTGGGTGTGGATCAAAGCTGGAATCTGCTGCTTCCATCCCAAGAAATACCTGTGGGATGGGATCCCATCCCATCCCATGGATCCCATCCCATTCCATGGATGTCATCCCACCCCACAGATCCCATCCCATGGATCCCATCCTACAGATCCCATCCCACGGATCCCATCCCATTTTTACATCCATTTTCAGGATAAGGTCAAAGCCAGCCCTTGATTTTGTCCGTGCCTCGTTTACCGGGATAATTATCCCAATAAAACTTCCCGTGATTTATGGGCTAATCCTATTTCCAGCTCCAGGGTGGGCTGGGGGAAGGGGAGACCACCCTGCCGGGATCGGCTTTTTGGCAGCTCAATTTCCCGGGATGTCTCCACCTGGAGCTGGGCAAGTTTTGCTTTGATGCAGGAGGGCCCCGTTAAAGCCTCACACGGAGTTTTCCAGGCTCCGTGTCTGGTTTGGAGGGGCCTAATCCAGGGAAACGGGGGAGGGGAAAAGATTCCGGCGGTGCGGAAGGTGAAAAGCTTCCAGTGGGATTGTCCCGAGGCGGCCGGGCTGCCAGATGTGCGCAGATGTGTCTGGGTTTGCAGCTGCAGACGCGGCGGGGAGGGGAAAGGGGGGATGAATTCATGGAAAAAGAGAAAGTTGGGAGGCGGAGAAGGAAAAGGCTCCGACAGGGAAAGCTCCGAGGGGCCCCCGTGTCCCTGCAGGAATCCAGGAGAGGCTCTGGGGATGGAGCTCCACAAATCCCGGCAAAAATGACGCCGAGGTTTGGTGTGGAAAATGGGATTTTGGAGAGGATGGGCTCAGGGTTGATCCCAGAACGGCTGCGAGGGTCACGGGATGTTCAGAGTGAAATTTGGGATTTTCAGACTTTGCTTCCACGGAGATTCCCAAATCCAAGGGTGAACTGAAGGGCAGCTGGAGCAAAGGGACCCCGATGTCCCCATGGGGAAGAGGCTGGGATTGGGATGTGGGAATTCCTGGGAGGACTCTGCCCCACGGTGATCCCGCCTCCACCTGGAAATGCCAGAGCCGTCGGCTCCGCTCCAGTGCTGGGTGGATCCCGAAGGCAAACACGGACCCAGGTGCCACATCCATGGGCACATTCCCAATCCCTTCCTGGCACAGGGATGGCACCACAGGTTCCCTCCCCTCTGCCCTTGGGAATTTTATCCCGCTGTAAAATCCCACAGCCGTGGGATGGGGCAGAGGCGCGGCTGGGATCCCATGGAATTCCATGGGAGGAATCCAGGGAAGCACGGCTTGTTTAGTCTGGAGAAGGGAGGGCCGAGACGGCTGCACATTCCAGCAGGAGGGACGGAGCAGGGAGAGGAACCGGCACGAGTCGGGGGGAACGAATTAAAGGGAATTACTTCCAAAGGGAATTAGGGAATTTTGGCCCATTTGCCGTCGGCTGCAGGATGAGGAGACGAAGATTCAGCCCAGCAGAAAATCCATGGATTTCCTCTCCCTGTGCTCCAGCAGCTCACCAATGCTTTTTTGGCAGGAAGAGCCATTTTTCCAGCTTCTCCCTGCTCGGGAAGGGCTGAATTCCCTCCGGACACATCAGAGGGCAGAGCCCAGCTGGAAATCCTGTCCCAAAACCGAGCTGCTCCTTCTCTGGAGCCGGGACACCCCATCCAAGGTCAGCTTTTTGGGAAAACTGGGAGAAACTGGCTGGGTTTATCCCGATACAACAAATCCCTGGGAATTTCCTCGGGATCAGCCCAGCGGGATCCCCATTCCCAAGGATTTAAGGAGGCAGGTGAGAGGCCATCGGGAATTTAATGGAACTTGGCACTGGAAACTGTACAACATTTACAGAGAACCACACGCTGTGTCCGTGTACACCCTCCGCCATTCCCAAAGTTCCCAGCCGGACACGGCACAGGCAGTGACGATCCCTGGATGTGGAGTCACCGCTCCCAAATCCTGCATTTCGGGATATGGCTCCCCAGTCCTGGATTGCAGGATCCCAAATCCCAGATTTCAGGATCTCACTCCCACATCCTGGATTTCAGGTGTCAGGGATTGCAGGATCCCAAATCCTGGATTTCAGGATGCTACTCCCACATCCTGGATTTCAGGTGTCAGGGATTGCAGGATCCCAAATCCTGGATTTCAGGATGCTACTCCCACATCCTGGATTGCAGGTGACAGGGACAGCAGGATCCCACTCCCCAATCCTGGATTTCAGGATATGGCTTCCCAAATCCTGGTTTTCAGGTGACAGGGACTGCAGGATTCCACTCCCAATCCTGGATTTCAGGTGACAGGGACTGCAGGATCCCCAATCCTGGATTTCAGGGACTGCAGGATCCCCAATCCCGGATTTCAGGTGACAGGGACTGCAGGATTCCACTCCCAATCCTGGATTTCAGGTGACAGGGATTGCAGGATCCCCAATTCCGGATTTCAGGTGTCAGGGACTGCAGGATCCCACTCCCAATCCTGGACTTCAGGTGACAGGGACAGCAAGATCCCCAATCCCAGATTTCAGGGACAGCAGGATCCCCAATCCCAGATTTCAGGGACTGCAGGATCCCCAATCCTGGATTTCAGGGACAGCAGGATCCCCAATCCTGGATTTCAGGGACACCCCGTTGTGCTCAGAGCTGTCACCCTTTGCTTCCCACTTGGCTCTGCAGCGCCATTCCCAAGCCGGATCATTCCCGGGATTTTTCCCGGGATCTTTGGAGCGCTAGAAGATGGCAGTGCTGCCACCCTGAGTGTTTCCAACCACTCCTCCTCCTCCTCTCCTCACACTCCAACACTTCCTCTCCTCTACCTTTCTACCACATGCAAGAACCCCTTGGTCGCCTCCAAGTCCTGCTTCCCGTTGGGAAGCGTTTCATTTCCCAAAAGGCGACAAAAACACGGAATCTACCTTCGCTCCCTGCTATCCCCCTCTACTCACTGCTCCCCAAACCCTTTTACAACGTGCCTACCACCTTCCTACACCCTGGAGTAAAGCAGTTCTCTTTCAGTAGTGTCTCCTCCCAGCCCGCGGATTGCTCCGGGGTGATGTCACCCCTCGGAGCACGAAGGATCAAGTACTGGAAAGGAAATGCCAAGTTTGAGCAACAAAAAAAAAAAATACAAAAATAAAAAAAAAAAACCCAACCAATCGAAGAAAACCAACAACAACAAAAAAACAAAACCAAACCCCAAATCCCAACCCCCAAAGTGGAAATCAAACTAATAAAAAATTAAATAGCTGGCAGGATACAAGAGCGGGACAGAGGAATGTACAAAGGACACACAGAGATCAAAGATTCCAGTAGGTGAACTGAGAACCTGTTGAAGCTGGGGTCTGGTTTTTTGGGATTTTTTCTTTTGGAACACGCATATTTGAAGGAATTGCCATAACCACACAGCAGAGTGACTTCAGGGTCCTCTAAAGGACTTTTGAAGTGTTCCTCAAAACCCCCCGGTGCTGCCCAAAATTCCGCTTTATTTCCCATCCTCTACCACGGCTGTGGAAAGATTTGGGGAACCCCAATTTGCTCTTCAGCTCTGTCAGGAAGGTTTTGGAAATCCCCTCACGGATTCTGAGAGTAAAACCAGACTCCAGTTCAACAGTAACTGCACACCAGTAGCTGCCATTCCAAGACAAACCAAGGATTTGATCCGCGGAGCGGCTCCGAAGGCGCTCCCGGTACAAAAATGTACACGGAATTATTTATAAATTAACAGTTTTCCCCCAGGGTGGCACCAGGGCTCCTTTTTTTTTTTTTTTTGGTTTGGTTATTTTTTTTCCTTACACCAGCGTTTCTTTCCGTTTCCCGCTGAGCTGCTTCTCCCTGGATTTTCTGTGCCCGGATGAGGTTCTGTGGGATCTCATCCCTTTGGCTTCCTCCGAGTCCAGGACGGAGCCGCACTCGGCCGCGCTCTCGTCCAGCTCCATCTGGGATATTCCCGAGCGGCGTTTTTGGGCCGGGATGTTGGGCACGGCCGGGTTGTTCTCCTCCGACTCCTCGCTCAGCTCCGGCAGCTCCTGGAGCTCGGGAACGTTCCTCCGGAACGGGGCGATGGCCGTGCGGATGCAGTTCACCCACTGTTGCTTGTGGAAGACGTCGTTGGCCTGCAGCGTGTGCGACTGGCCCGCCGCGGGATCCTGGAAACGGACTCGGAAAATGTTTTTGGCTGGAAAAAAAGGGGAAAAGCGCATCAGTTCCGAGCTGATATTCTGTTGGTAGGTTTGAAATCCCAACAAAAGCATTCCCAAATCCAGCAGGGAGATAAAGATGGTTTCTAATCTGAGCCCCAGCCGTGACTTCACGGCCACCACGGATGAGCCGATCGGATCCGTACTGTAACTTTTTAATTTAGTTTTATTTCTCTCCATTCTGCTGCACCTCTGTACTTTTCTCTACTCCTGGATTTCTCAGTCCCCTCTGGGATCCTCCCTCATGGGGAGTCCCGTTTATCTCAGTTCTCTGGGTTTGAAGAAAACTCTAAAGCTCGTTAGGATTTTGTTTCTTGTGTTTATCAGGATGACATCACAAAACTTGGCAGGTTTCTCCAGATTTTAATTCACCACAACCTGGCTTGTTTTGGCTCCGATGGCACAAAACGGCCCCAAACCACGTGGATGCCTCATCTTTACATCTGTTTTTACCCTATTAACTACAGACACGTGTGTTGTTTTTATATATTAACAAATAAGTTTTCTATAGCTACTTATGTAACTGTGACTAACTCTTAACCAATCACTCTTTGTGCTTTTAAAAACTGTGATTTGTGAAGAAGAAGGAAGGAGAGCTAAAAATCACACCTTTTTTCCTCCATCTTTACTCCATGTATTAAACCCTCTAAAATCTGTATTTTTCACTTCAGTGACATGCTAAACATTTTACTTAATTTATTATAAATCCTGGTTTACCCAGGGGTATTTGGAAGCTTTTCTGTCAGTGACAAATAAGATTATTTTAATTTTTTTTGGATAATAGGACAAACAGAGAAATGTCTCTCCATTTCTGGATTCCCACACGTACCTTTATCAGAATTCCCAAAAGCTCCTCGGAAGGAGCCTCCCATTTTGACATCTCCATCCTGGAGGTCTTCGAGGAGCAGCTCCTGGACAGGGATGGGCTGGCGGTACACCTGGAACGCCTGGCGCTCGTTCCGGCTCACCGGCCGCGTCAGCACCAGGATTTCTTGGAAGAGGAAGACGTAGAGCTTCTGTGAAAGGGAAAACATCCTGGTGTTGACTCTGGATTCCATGAGGTCACACATCCTGTGGGATTCAAGGTCACCTTATCTGCAGTTTCACCCAGGGTAATTTTCAGAGTCTCCTGAAAGGTCTGGCACGTGCCAGGATTACGTCAGCTGCTTTATTATTTTATTGATCCCTAGAATGGGAATGATGATTCCCAGATTCCAGGGATGGGATGAGTAGGAGCTGTATCTTTCCTGAGTGCATGGAATGCCAATTAAACAAAACAACAACAACAAACCAAATTAACAAAGCAAAGATTGGAGGTTGAAATGAGGACAAAAGGCAGCAAAGCCTGGAGCGCAGTGGGTGGGAGATAAATCCAGCCCAAAGCCAAACAGGCTTTTTTGCAGGAACCTTTTTGTTTGGAAAAGCCAGGGCTCCTAATGGGGAATGTCAGAGCACCTGGAAGTAAACAGAGGCAGGAAATCCCTGGGGATGGGGAGCACTCTCTGCAGGCACTCTGTGCTAATCATCTCCCAGCTTCCCAAAGCCCATTGTGGAGCTGGCAGCAGGAAACTTTCCCTTACACCCCGAAATGAGGCTGCCAAAAAGGGATTTTCCTCTGCTGTTTTATCCAATATCCCAACTATCCCTAAGGGTTTAAAGCAGCTCTGAGGGAAGGTTTGAGGGTTAATTAGTAACAAAGGAGGGACTTACGTGTCCGTTTTTATTCTTCAGCTCCCCGTGGCACAGCAAAGCTTTGCTGCCTTCAATCCTTGGATCCTTCTGCTTCTCATCCAGGTATTCCAGCTTGTCAATGTAGTACTGGCACTCGGACTCGCCCTTCTTCAGGTTGATGTCAGAGAGGACTCCTTGGATTATGGATATCTAAAAACCCAAACAAATGATTAACAGGGAGTAACTGCTTTTCCCTGAGTGACCTCTGCTTGTGCTCCTTCACAACTCCAAAGGGTGAAATTCTCATGGATTGATCCCTCACTTTCCCTGGGCCCCCTCGAGAAAAACCCCTCTGGGAACCGCTGAGGCTTTAAGGAAGATTTCTGGAGCTCCCAAATCGCATCCTGAGGTGAGAACGAGCCAATGGGGATTACTCACGGCTTCCTCCAGGATGTGGATATCGGGATGGTCTTTGGGAGTGTGCCTCAGGATCTCCTTGAGGAGCAGGGGGTATTTCACCAGGCGGCTCCGAGGGATGTCCAGGAAGCTCCAAAGGTCCAGCTTGCGGCTGAAGGGAGACTCCAGGCAGCGCTGCAGGAAATCCTGGACTCTCCTGTCCTGCTTCTTCTGATCCAGGAGCGCTTTGGCTGCCAGCTGATTGCTGCAGTAGCCTTTGTAGGCGTGGAGCTGGGGTAACTGCAGGGAACAGAGGAGATTTACCAGTCAGATTCCCTGTGGGAAAAGCAGATGTCACTAACATGGCAAACCCCTCGAGTTCTACAGCCCTCACTGGGGGATTCCTCACGATAAAAAAGCAAAGGGAGGATCTTGTGAGGAGCACACGGAGCCCATGAAGCTCCCAGTGTTTGGATCCTGTGAGGAGCCCATGGAGCTCCCAATGTTTGGATCCTGTTAGGAGCACATGGAGCCCATGAAACTCCCAGTGTTTGGATCCTGTGAGGAGATGAGCACACGGAGCCTGAAGCTCCCAGTGTTTGGATCTTGTGAGGAGCTCATGGAGCTCCCAATGTTTGGATCCTGTGAGGAGCACACGGAGCCCATGAAACTCCCAGTGTTTGGATCCTATGAGGAGCAGGATGAGCCCATGAAACTCCCAGTGTTTGGATCCAGTGAGGAGCAGGATGAGCCCATGAAGCTCCCAGTGTTTGGATCCTATGAGGAGCAGGATGAGCCCATGAAACTCCCAGTGTTTGGATCCTGTGAGGAGCACACGGAGCCCATGAAACTCCCAGTGTTTGGATCCTGTGAGGAGCACACGGAGCCCATGAAACTCCCAGTGTTTGGATCCTGTGAGGAGCACACGGAGCCCATGAAACTCCCAGTGTTTGGATCCTGTGAGGAGCACACGGAGCCCATGAAACTCCCAGTGTTTGGATCCTGTGAGGAGCACACGGAGCCCATGAAACTCCCAGTGTTTGGATCCTGTGAGGAGCACACGGAGCCCATGAAACTCCCAGTGTTTGGATCCTGTGAGGAGCACACGGAGCCCATGAAACTCCCAGTGTTTGGATCCTGTGAGGAGCACACGGAGCCCATGAAACTCCCAGTGTTTGGATCCTGTGAGGAGATGAGCACACGGAGCCCATGGAGCTCCCAGTGTTTGGGTCCTGTGAGGAGAACGAGCACAAGGAGCCCATGGAGCTCCCAGTGTTTGGGATTAGCAGGGATAACACTCCTGGAATCACACTAGGACATTGTCCAGGAGACACAGACACTCCGACCCTGAATCAGCAAATCATTCCAAGTCTCTGGGGTGAAATCAGGGCCCGTTCCAGCCAACAGAATCCCATTGTTTTCAGCTTTGCCAGGATTTCCCTTCCAATCTTGCACTGAGGGCCACAAAAGCCCCAGAGCTTTGCAGCTTCTGCCTTTAAACGTTCTCTAAGCTCAGTTTTAGCCTGGTGATTCCAAGCTCTGAACTCACCCACTTCACAAGGATGGGCCCAATCTGCTCCACTGTCCCATCTGGTTTTGTTGCTTCTCCCAAACTTGCCAGTAAGTCTGGAATTGAAACAGAGAAAGAGGAATTGCAGCAATGGCCTGAGGAGAAACAGGAGAAAGCAGAGAGGTTCAACCCTAGTGAGCACAAACCACCCAGCTGCTCTTACCTTCGTGCAGAGGAATGTAGGAATCCAAGTCCCCAAAAATGTGGGTGAGTTCCTCCTCAGACATGATGGAGAGTTTCAGCATGGGATCGTGGTAGGCCTGAAATAAAATATATTGAAATGTGCCATGCCCCAAAGCCGATGATTTCAACTGAGGGGATTTATCAGGTGAAAGAAGTGAAGGCAACAGAAAGATCTGATGCTCAAAGATTCACTCGCTGTCGAGTAGGGAGAACTTAAATGATTTTCCTGTCTGGCCTATTCCCAGCTGGGAGAGGGAGTCCCCAAGCAGCTCTGCACAATCCTTTTATGGCTGGGTTTGGTGCTGGCCCAGTGCTCAAGTCAGAGAATTCAAAGCTGGCTTTCCAGCTGGGGCTTTTGGGGCTGATAAAGCTCCCACGTCGTGTTTGCAGGTGCAAAAAAAACCCCTCATTATTCCCTGGAATGTCATCAATGGCTGCAGGAAAAATCCCACTCACCTTTCTGGCCAGCTTCAGGTCTTCAATCAGGTCCTGCTCTCCCCTGGACATTTCATAGATGGCCTGGGAGGAGAGGGATCGAGCATCCCGAGTTATTTGGAATTGTCTGTCACAAAGAGCCTTTCAGCAGCTGTGATGTACAGCCCGCCCCGACCCCCGCAACCCTGAGTAAATCTGCTGTCCTAGCCCTGAGAAAGCAGCTCTGCTTCCAGCCCTGCCAAAGCCCTGAGGGCCCCTGCACGAGCCAAATTAAATATTAGAGCCTTTTAAATCACTGCTTTTCGCCAGGGCAAGGCTGCAAACACAAAACCCCCGAAACCACAGAGGTCAAATCCCAGGCAGCTTCCGGCGGCTCCTGTGCTGTCTCCACAAGATTTGTCCAAGAACTCCAGGAAAAAGGCAAGCCAAGGCCTTGCTGCTTGGCTTCCAACCAATTGTCAGGAGTTTTAGGAGAAAGACAGCTGGCTCTGTGAGGAACCTGAGGTTGGGGCAGCTGCAGAGCAGCCAGCGGGGCCAGGGCTGGGATTTCAGCAATGCCGTGGAAAGTTTGGCATCTCCAAAGGGTCGCACTGGGAAGATGAATTCCAGAGTGGAATCCACCTTTTCCCATGGCTGATGCAGACATCAATCTTAGCTTTAGGTACACAGGAAGATGAAGCCTCCCCCCCAAAGGTTGTTTCTCCTTTCCCAGCAAGGGCAGGGACAAAAGGCCTCACTCCCAGCCCCGTTTTCCATGGGCTGTTACCTCCTGGCGCTTGATTTCTTTGGTGCTCAGGGATTCTTTCGTGTTGGTATCCAACGTTTCAGACCAAAGGACACTGTTCCTCCTCTTAGGGGGAGTAGGAGCAGCAGATCTGCTGCATGATTTCTGGGCACAGCCGGGGGATTTGCTGTCGCTGCGAAGGGTGAACGACTGCGGGGATTTAAAAGAAAAAAAGAATAAAAAATATTAAAAACAAAACCTGACAAGCCAACATTTCAGATTATCAGAATATTATCCATGCCACTCTTAATCCTTCGTCCTCCTGGGTTGTCCAGGGCAGGAAAACACACCCAGACACTTTTCCTCAGAGAAAGGAACTCTTTAATCAAGCTGCTGAGAAAGCCCAGAGCTTGGCAAGGTTTTCCGTGCCCCTCTCCCTGCGCTGATCCGCTGGGGAGGAAGATGGGAAAGCAAAGCTCGGGTTTATTTGCCAGCCATGAGGAAGTAAATAAAGGAGAATCATTAATTCTTCCTAGGAAGAGGTTAATGAGAAGCCACTTGAACTTTGCCCCGGTGTTTTGCAGGGCTCCTAAAAGCCGCCGTGCTGCTCCCTGGGCCAGCTCCCAGCACGCTGCAGCACTCGAGGCTCAGGCTCGGGGCCCTTTATCAGCTCGTTATCTCCAGCAGTTGATTTGATTTAAGCTCACACAGCACTTCAAAATCCCCCCGGGGGGTCTGATCTACCCCATCCAACCAATCCCTCTGCCAAAGCTCCAGGTTTCGCTCCGTTTTTACCTGGATTGTCTGCCCAAAGCGTCGAACCGCCCCATTTCTGACAGGGGAGATCAGGTTTGCCAGGGAGGTGACTCGTGCTAAAGGCCGGACCCGTTTAGTGCTTGGCTCCTGCAAAGCAAGCAGAGAACAAATTGTCCTGGCTGTGCCTCCCTCAGACATTTCTCAGGCAGGTTCCAAAAGCACAAACCCGCTTAAGGAGTGGCAAACTCTGCAAGGAGAGTGTTTGGAATCAGCCATTCGTCTTTCAAGGCTATAAATATTTGTCTGAACTTTAAGGCTGCAATTAAACTGCAGAGGTTTTTTGCCCAGAGTTAAAAGAGGTGAGAGAACATCAGTGAGAATTCAAAATAGGGCTCCAGCAGGGACTGTTATGCTTTGAACAGAAATAGATTAAAGTGTTCTCTGACACTCTGTGGCAGCTAAAGACGGTGCTGGGATCTGCTTCTCCATTTTCTCATCTTTTCCTCTGGAGCAAGAATGTGTTTTTCCATTTTATTTTGGAGAGCAGAGCAGCAGCGGGGGCCCAGCACAGCCATTAACAACCAGAGGCTGAACATTCCTGTGAGGAACACGCACACAGATGAAGCTGAAATCCCTCAGTTTGCAAAGTTTCCTCCTCCACCCTCTGCAACCACTGTCATTTTTCTTACACTTTGTTTAGATTTGAAAGCCGGAGCTTCTGCTTTTCCCCACCGCTAATCCCTGCCGGGAGCTCAAGTCTGTCCCGACCCAAACGCTGCCAAGAAAGAGGAAACGCCCCTGGAAAGCTCCTGCTGCTTCGCTTTTCAAAGTTCTGTTGGCAACTCGACATCAAAAATATTGTGTGGTGAGGGCTGGGCAGGAAAGGTGTGCACAGGGGGAAGCTGGGAAGAGATGGGCTCCCAGTTAAGGCTTGGAAAAGGCTGCAGGATTGTCCTGGTGCTCCCAAACATCTGGCACAAGCTTGGGCGTGACTCATCCTCATGGGACTGCTCAGCACGAAGCTCCCATCAGGACAGGGAAGCAGCCTCAGTTTGGGTTCAGCTAAAAGTGGTTAATTTTTGCTGAATTCCTGCTCTTTGGAAAGGCAGAGCCTGTGGAGGCTGCTGAGGATGAGCCCTGCGCCGTTTCCATCCAAACCCTTCGCTCACAAGTGACGAATGCTGAAAACAAAACTGAAAAAAAAAGGGGAATACGAACAGACAGAGCTGGATTGCAGTCATGAAGACTGAAGGAACATAAAAACCGTGTGTGTGTGTAAGATCTGATTTCAGCAACCCGACCCCAGCAGCGGCCCTGCCCACACGTGGTGTTGGGCAACAGAGGAGGAGGAGGAGGAGGAGAAGGAGGAGGAGGTGAGCTCACCCTGAGTTCAGCCTTCAAACTTGCGGGGGGGGGGAACATGAAAAGAAACAATTTATGAGCCGTGCAGGAAGAAAATGAGCTCTTGGCGCAGCACAAAGCTGTGCTAGAAATGTTTGGGGAATGGCAGAGTTAGGAGGGCGCCATAAAAATGGGGAAAAGCTGCAAAAGTGTCCTCGATCACAGGATGCTCAGCTGGGTTCATGTCGGACACCGGGAACTCCACGGCGGGGACACCGGGAACTCCACGGCTCGGACACCGGGAACTCCACGGCGGGGACACCGGGAACTCCACGGCGGGGACACCGGGAACTCCACGGCGGGGACACCGGGAACTCCCCCACTGAGCTCAAGACAGGGACAATCAGGAAAAGGTTGGAAAGTCAGGCCAGGCCCAAAGACAACAAGGAAGGTTTAATTTATTGCAGATGTTTCTGACTGGAAGGGAGGTATTTACTTTTAGAAAATCATCTGTCAGTGCAGGAGGGTAAAGAAAGGGACGTGGGCCAAGAGGAGCTTACGAAAGTGCAGGACTGAAGATGCAGACACAAAGCCACCCACGGCTCTGGCAAGGCCAGGGATAAAAATAGCCTGGAAAAGCAAAATGTGACGCTGAAAATGAAAAGCAGGAAAGCTCTCAAGCCGTGGGGAGGCTCCAGCAGGTCACTGGAGAAGGGTCAGAGCTGCAGCTTTGCAGAGATCCAGTGACAGGGAGCGCAGGGCTGTGAGGGAATGTGGGAATGTGGGAATGCCTTCCCAGCACATCTGTGCCCGGCTGAAGTGACACGTGCACGTGCCCAAGGGCTGGCAGCAGGAATTCCTGAATTCAGCTTAGCAAAAGGCCCTTTTTCCTCTCTTTAAGGAGAACAACAACAACAAAAAAGAAATCAAATCCCACTTTTGTGTCTGAGCGCTCCTCAGACACGGCTCGACTGCCAAAAAAACCCAAAGCCCAGCTGGTTGTTCCTCTCCTCCCCAAGAGCGTTTGATGCGGAGCAGGGAGGAGGAAAAGCAAATCGCCCTTGGCTGAGCTCTGTGTTTGAGCCCGGGGTCACGGACTCCCGGCCCAGCCCGGCGTAAGCCGAGACTCCGGGTGCTTCATACTGCGGATAACTCGGGCTCAGGAGGGGTTTTTTTTTTAGCTCTGTACTTTGCAAACAATGATTCTCCTGTCTCCACGCCGTCTTCCTTACAGGAGCCGGATTACAATAAAGTCTGGGAGGTTTTTGTAACGATCCAGGGGTGTTACAGCACTCAGAAATAATTAAAACCCCAGCGGGGTCAACAGTTCCATCGGGAATTATTATTTTCCCAGAAGGCTTTTTATTAAAAGTGAATTAATACATCACGAGCACAGCCACTAAAGCGAATTTTCACACTCCTAGAATTCCTCCAAGTGCTTCTAAGTGCAGGTTAACTCATGAAAAGATTGCACCTTGCTGGAAAGAAAACCAGGCTCTACTTTTGAGCGAGTTTTTTTTTTTTTTCCAACAGCACGCCCACAACCTTTCCCCTGTGCTGGGTAATAATTAGTGGTTTTTACAAGGATCCCTTGCTGGAGTGCAATTCCTACGTGCCACACACAATTCCACACAAACACGGTGACCAATGGCAAAACCACGCACGGCAAGAACTTCCCCTACAGAGCCAATTCAGCAAAAATAGGATTTTAGTCAGCAGCCTGAATAATTCCTACCAGAAATCACCAACCTCTGTGTAAGAGTCACAGGAAAGGGGCTTGCTGAGCCTCAGGCTGAACTTCCAGACCTTTCCCAAATCCCACATCCCATTCCCGAGGGACACCCGCTGATAACTCGGGCGATTCAGAATTCGAGGTGATTTTATTCCCCTCCCAGAGCTCTGTTTTTTGTTATTTCTCCCCCAACATCTGGTTTCCCTTTTGCACAATGACATTGCCCAAGTTTGGCTGTTGCAAATCCGGCATTTGCTGAGCTCGGTGACTCGGCGCTGAGCCCTCAAACCCCAGCAATGTCTGGAGACGCCTTTTTTTTTTAACTTTGTTTTTTTTTTCCATCTCATCTCACTAATCTGAGCAATAAACCCAGCCCAAGGGCCCTACCTGGCTGCTGAACTTTTGCTCCTGTCGCAGCAGGAGGCTTGGGAACACCTACCAGGAGCTCAATTATTGCCATCTGCATAACAACACGCGACAAAAATAACAATACTTCAATCCAACAAACCGGCCCTCAAAAACCCAACAAAACCCCACGATGACGGGTTTTTCTTCGGTTTAAGCAGCAAACAAGCACCTAATTAGGAAAAATCCCGTCAGTTGAAAGAGCGTTAAGAGATACAGTGGATTTTTTAATGGGAAGCGGTGCTTTTTAAATGAAAACAGGCGAATTTTTAATGAAAAACCACCTGGGGAGAGCGGGGTCAGGTGAGGCACCGAGATTGGTTTTGGCTCATTTTCTGGGGGTATGAGCTCAGATATAGATATGTAATGTGTACATATGTACATAAAATATATATATATGTGTATAATATATATATATGTACATATACGTAGGCTTAAACATATATACAGTTATTAAAATCGCTGGGTGAGGCGCCGAGATCGGTCCTGGCTTCCTAGTCCCACTGTTTCGGGGCGATGAACTTAAATATATTGCGCATATATGTGTATATATAGATATGTACATAAAATACATGTATATATATAGAAAGAGTGTTTTTTAACTCGCCAGTTACCCCGCGCCCTGCCCGGCTCGCCACCTCCCCTCAGACGCGGAGAGCGGGAAGCTGAGGGGGCTCCCCCTCTCCCCACCCTCCCCTCAAATAAATCCCATTTTTCCCCTTCTCCAGCCGCTCTTCCGCTCACCTCCTGCTCCCTGAAGTGCTGGTTCTGCGCGTCGATGACCCGGATAGTCCTTTTGATGGGCAGCAGCCCACCGAGCTCGTCGTGCGCCACCATGGCCGCGGCGCCCCACCGACCCTCACTCAACCGCCGCTCATCGCGCTCTGCGCCCGCCGCGCACCGCACCCGCCACCTCACCGCAGGGGGCGGGGCCATCGCGTGAAGCCACGCCCCTGAACGAGACCACGCCCCTTTTACAATAAAGCCACGCCCCCTCGGCGCGCGGGGCACTCGGGAGCCTCCCGGAGCTCCAAATTCCTCCAAAACTCTCCCCAAAAAAACCCCCCAAAACCTCTCCCAAAAAATCCTTCCTGCGCCTCTGTTGAGTGCTGGGAGAGGCTGAGGGAGCCGGGGCTGTGCGGCCTCCAGAGGGGACACGGCTGAGGGCCCATCCAGGGGGATCAGAAGCTCCAAAGGATGGAGCAGGCTCCCAGAGGAACGGGCAGATCCCAGGAATTGCCCCTGGATTTGGGGCACAATTTGTGCCCTGGGCAGTGCCCAGCCCTGAGCAGAGCCCAGAGAGGGGCTGGAGTCTCCTCCCTGGGAACATTCCAGAGGCACCTGGACGTTCCCTGTGCTGGAGCAGGGAGTGGAACCCACCGTGGTCCTTCCCAACCTCTTCCATCCTGGGATTCTGTGGCAAAGCGACACCTCCAAAAGACTCTGCTGCAGGGAGAGCAAAGGGACTGTCCCATCCCACAAAGCCAAGCTTAAATTTGGGGTTTCCCCCCATTTTTAGCGTTTTCTCCTGGTGCTCGCAGCCTCCTCCTAACGGCGGCTCCTCTTTCCAACGCTGGAGTATAAAACCTTCATCACCGCTTTTTTTTTTTAAATTATTCATTAAAAAAATAATAATAATTCTTGTCTAGACCCGCGCTTTAAATCTGTTCTGAGCTTTAAAGTTGTGCTGGGGCTGGGCTGAGCCTCTCCCAGGGGAGCCTGTCCCGACAGGCCTGGCTGGAGCTCTTGGATTTGCTGTTTGTTTGTTCAAGTCCTTTTTTATTCCTGGCACTGCTGCAAATCTCTGCCAGAAAAATCTTTCTTGTGCTGGTAAAAATAAAACTCGAGTTGTTTTGGCTGCCTACCTGTGCTGAGAAAGCTTTGAGGAGTGAAATTTGGGGTGGGTTCCAGTAGGAGGTTTGAAAAAAGAAAAAATCCTGCTGTCTCCTCTGCTGGATTTTGAATTTTTTTGGCTTTTTTTTTGGTTCTCTCAGTAAATTTAACCCATTTAATTTCTGCCATGTAAGGCCAGGACACGGAGGATTCTCAGAAATTTGGGATACACCAAGTTTCCACTTGCTGAAAGGACAGACCGTGACTCTTCCAGACACAAAAATGCTCTCCTGGATTACTAAAATCCGCTCTTTTTAACACCAAAGCGACTCTGGGGAGGAGCAGACAAAAAAAATTCGGATTCTAAAATTGGTATTAAATTTTTCGATCCTAAAACTGATACTAAAAAAAAAAAATTATTTTGATTTTTGATTCTAAAAAAAGATCTTTTTTTGTGGTTTTTTTTTAAAGAATCAAAAATCAAAACAAATTTTTTGGATCAAATTTTTCGGATCAATTTTTTTAGGATCAATTTTTTTAGGATCAAATTTTTTAGGATCAAACCAATTTCTATTCAAGGTCCAAGCCTCTGTTAAACTTGACCTAAAGATCCAGGAGCTCAGTTCTTTCCAGGGAGATGGAAAAATTCCAACTGAAAACAGGGATGAGCAGAGGCAGAGTCACACCAAGGTGACACCCAAAATATTTCTGGGCGGGATGTCCCGTGTCCCAAAGGTCGTTTGGTGACGCAAGGTGTCCTCGGGACTGGCTGGTGACACCTCGGGAGGTGAGGAATTCCTGGTGATGAAGGCTCAGGTGAGGAAATGTTCCTGCCTGAGGGGACAGGGATGGCTCCGGGCCAGGATGGGTGTGTCCTGGGAAATTCCTGTTCCTGGGAGAAAGGGATGGACCAGTTTGGAATGGCAGCTGGATCTGGACGGGTCATCAACAGCATTTTGGGGTAAAATGTGTCCTGAGTGGTGGAAAGGAGCACCATAAACCATCCCAAGGGATGGAGATGACATAAATCCACCCTGAGGGATGGACATGAGCACCACAAACCATCCCAGGGGATGGAGATGAGCACCATAAATCCATCCCAAGGGATGGAGATGACATAAATCCACCCTGAAGGATGGAGATGAACACCATAAACCATCCCAAGGGATGGAGATGAATGCCATAAACCCATCCTGAGTGATAGATGTGACCACCATAAATCCATCTTGAGTGATGGAGATGAGGACCATAAATCCATCCCAAGGGATGGAGATCTTCACCACAAACCCCTCCCAAGGGGTGGAGATGACCACAAACCCCTCCCAAGGGGTGGAGATGATGACCACAAACCCCTCCCAAGGGGTGGAGATGAGCACAAACCCCTCCCAAGGGATGGAGATGATGACCACAAACCCCTCCCAAGGGATGGAGATGAACGCCATAAATCTATCCTGAGTGGTGGATGTGACCACAATAAATCCATCTTGAGTGATGGATGACCATCAATCCATCCCAAGGGATGGAGATCTTCACCACAAACCCCTCCCAAGGGATGGAGATGAGCACAAACCCCTCCCAAGGGGTGGAGATGACCACAAACCCCTCCCAAGGGATGGAGATGACCACAAACCCCTCCCAAGGGATGGAGATGACCACAAACCCATCCCAAGGGATGGAGATGACCACAAACCGCTCCCAAGGGATGGAGATGAGCACCACAAACCCATCCCAAGGGATGGAGATGAGCACAAACCCCTCCCAAGGGATGGAGATGACCACAAACCCCTCCCAAGGGATGCAGATGACCACAAACCCATCCCAAGGGATGGAGATGACCACAAACCCATCCCAAGGGATGGAGATGACCACAAACCCCTCCCAAGGGATGGAGATGACCACAAACCCATCCCAAGGGATGGAGATGACCTCCCAGGGAAGGCCGTAATCCCGGAGAAGCCAGCAGCCAGCCAGGCTGGAACGTGCCCAAGGACAGATCCAAGAACCCTTTCCCAGGATCACGTCCGCGGGATCAGCGTGGCCCTGCAGCTCCAAGCACGCTCCGATACCTCCACGTTCCTCACCCGCCTCTGCTCCGCTCCCGCCGTGGAAGAGGGAATATCCTGAATTTACTCAAGTTCATTGGGATGCAAACCCATCCTGAGCAAGGCCGTGGGAAACCTCGGAGAGAATCCAAAATACGGGAAAAGGAAGGAGCGACAAACCAGATTGATGGATTTCCCTATAAACCCTGTGCTCTTATTCCAGCTTGGAATCCTCCAATCCAAGAGATCTCCCAGTGTTCCCCTCTTCCCTGTCCCTCAGGAACGCAGCTGGGCTGGGCTGTGGATCCCAGACATGGACACCAGACCAGTTCTTCCTGCTCTGCTGCCAGGGGGTATCCACAGCATTCCTGCCCTGGATTCCCATGGAGATTTTCACTTCCAGGAGCAAAATCCCTCAGCGACTCCTATCCTATTATCCAGGAATCAGGGAGCTGGGAAGAGCTGGAATGACAGAGAATCATCCAACCCTCATTGTTTTCCTCTTTTTTGCTGGGATTTCGTTCCCACGGAGCTGTTCCTTGAGTCCTGGACAGCCTCATCCCCGTGACATTCCCTGTTTTTGGAATTTATTCCTGGAAGTGCTGCCACTAAATAAAAATCCTCTCCGGGGTATTACCACACCAATTTGTTATTTCAGCCCCAAAGCATCATCCAATACATTTGAGATTAAGGAAGGATGAATTCCGAAGAAAACGCACATTCCAATTCCAAGATTCCAGGCTGATGGAAGTTTTTAGGGATAAAAACACTGGATTGTTGGAATGACACCTTTCCAAAGCGTTGCAGTATAGGAATGTTGTCCCCAAGAGCTGAACACGTCCCCAGGGTGAACACACGTGACCCGATCCTGACTTTTTCTCTTGGAAAAACACTCAAGGAAATGAGGTGTTGGAGCAGCAGGAAGACATAAAAATCCCAGCAGGATTGGGATTTTCAGCCCATCATCAGCTGGAGAATCCTTACGGCACCGTGGTCGAGCCGTGCCACCAATCCCAACCATTCCCAGGAAACTCTGGGATGGCTCCGTTCCATCCCTAATCCAAAAGCCAGGAATCCAAGATCTCAGTTCTGCCCCTGGCTGGAGAGGAGGAGATTTGAGCTGGGGCACTGCAGAGCCTGGAGGGAGTCAGGTATTCCTTCAGCAGGAAGTTTTCCCAATTTTCCCGGTTTTCCCAGATCCTGGAGCGTGCCTGGATCCGATTCCTTCAAAAAACCTGCGACGTTTTAACCCCGCGCGGGCAAACGGAAGCATCCAGTCCTCCCATCCCCATTCCCAGTTTGAAATCCCATTTCCCAGGAATCACCAGCCACCTGAACCACCCCTTTTCCAGCTATTTTTCCTGGAGGATGGGATAAACAGGATTTTCCACTCCAGGATTTTGCCGTCCGTGTTCGGCGGCTGTTTACTGGCCACGAGCCGTGTTTAACATTCCTGGATATTTATATTCCCGGCCAAATTCAGAGCAGAATTCTGGAAAATGAGCAGAAGTAGGCGATGACCCAACACGAGACCTTTGGGTCATCCAAAAACTTGAGGAGCTGCTCTGGAATCCGGCGTTTTTTTGGGATGCTGGGAGCGGACTATAATTAGCGGTCACTCAACTCCTTTAAACAGCCACAGAAAAATCAACTCTGATTTCCCTAAAATCCATCCTGGAACATTTTGGGAATATTTAGGGAAGGTAAAATCCACCTTTTTGATTGGGAAGATAAAGATTTGGAATATTTAGGGAAGGTAAAATCCACCCTGAACATTTTGGGAATATTTAGGGAATGTAAAATCCATCTGTGAACATTTGGGAATCTTTAGGAAAGGTAAAATCAATCCTCGAACAGTTTGGGAATATTTAGGGGATGTAAAATCCACCCTTGGACATTTTGGGAATATTTAGGGAATGTAAAATCCATCTGTGAACATTTGGGAATCTTTAGGAAAGGTAAAATCAATCCTCGAACAGTTTGGGAATATTTAGGGGATGTA